TTTTTTTTTTTTTTTTTTTTTTCTGAGGCAGAGTCTTGCTGTGACGCCCAGGCTGGAGTGCAGTGGCCCGAACTAGGCTCAATGCAGCCTCCGCCTCCCGGGTTCAAGCCATTCTCCTGCCTCAGCTTCCCAAGTAGCTGGGATTACAGGTGCCCGCCACCATGCCCAGCTAAATTTTTTTTTGTATTTTTAGTAGAGACAGGATTTTGCTATGTTGGCCAGGCTGCTCTTGAACTGATTTTGTGATCCATCTGCCTTGGCCTCCCAAAGTGCTGGATTACAGGCGTGAGCCACCGTGCCTGGCCAAACTTAACTTTCATTGTATTGTCTAGCTTTTAAAAAATGAGTATGCAAACACATCATAATGTCAATAGTCAATTTAGGGTGATGGGTGTACAGTTTTTATAATATTTCCCTATTAAGTTTTGTAAAATAAAAATAGTTATTTTTAAGTAAACGAGATGCCCGTAGATGATGTAAACAATACCCTGTAATTTCCCGTTGGTCCCAATATAAAGCTGACTTTTCTAGGGGTTCTATGGGCTCACAGGCCATCCTAGTTTCTTTCACCAGACAGATCCAGGCAGATGCCCAGAGGCGTGTGAGCTGGAGCTACAGCATTGCAAGGTAACGAGTTCACAGGGTGTTGAAAAGTCAGTTACGAAGGTATACGTGGGGATGGGGCAGTGAATGGTGTATAAAAAGGAGGGTAAGGTAGGAACTGGGGACGCAGGATGTGGTGTAGAAAAGTGTGCCGAGATGTGTGAAGTCGCCTGACAGCATAAGTAAGAAGCTGTATGTGGGGGCCATGGAGGTCCCACCCACAAGGCTCTTGAGCTCTGTTTCAGGAGCTCAAGTCGCATCGCTGCTTCCACGGTTCATCGGAACAGGCTGCTCCGTACATTTCCTTGATGACCACCCACTCCTCCCTCTCGGCCACTCCCCTCCCCATCAACAAATTCCAACGCCCCTCACCCGGGACCGTGGACCTCAAGGAGCCACCATTGCCTCGGATCGTGGACCACCAATCTCTTCTCCCGCCAATTCGGCCCTCTGACCTTCGCCTTCTGACCCCGAGAGCCACTCTTCCGCCTTCCGTAGCACAGGAATGCATTCTGGGGCTTCAAGAAGCTGCTGTTTTTGAAAGTGATTCCTACCGAGGCAAGAAGGCAGGTGCTGCAGCCAGGAAAATACATTTGCGTGTGTTTTAATGTTTATTTTCACTCACTACAATTCTTTCGTAGAGGGAGCGGAATTTAAACTTCTGGGTCAGCCTCAGTGCAGCTTGGGAAACGTAGTTCCTGGTCCGCACGTCTAGCTCCACGGAGCCGAGACTGAGGGAGCGTCGCGAAAGTTGCCCGTTTAGGAACGCTCCCATTTGGCGCTCCAAAGAGAAGAACTGGTTAAATAGTCGCACGGAGAACAATGCGATTCAAATTTCTCATTTTCCAAGAATGCTCCCTTGCTGAAGCTTGGAAGGGCACGGGACTCCTCTCTCCTTGATCCTGAAACGTGCAGCAGGTAGATAACCTCCTGATCCCTGATAGTCTCCGCCTGTTTTGATGCCCCGCCCCCTCTGCTGAAGCCCAAGCCGCCCATTGGCTAGGAGCACTTGAGCGGCGGAAGCAGCTGGCTCGCGCGGGGACTGCGGTGAGGGGGCGAGCCGTGAAGATGGCGGCAGTGGTGGAGGTTGAGGTTGGAGGTGGTGCTGCTGGGGAACGGGAGATGGATGAGGTAAGCGGAGTTGAGAGACGAGGAGAGACTCAGCCTGAAGCTTGAGGGGAGGGGCAGTGAGGTGTCGGGAGGAAGGGGTCTTAGGAGAGATGAGAAAGATCCTGAGAGGGAAGGAGCTGATTAGGGGGCGGGTGCGTGGAGAGGGAAGTCAGAGGCACTCCTGACTTGGGGACTCCGAGGCGGCCTTGGGAGTGGAAGACTTGCTTTAGCCTCAGGGGTGGAGATGGAGGATAGAGAGGTCGGAGGGGTGGGTGTGTTAAGATTTTGCGATTACTAGCTGGGGGTCTTAGGGTAGGACTGAAGGGCTGAGAGGTAGTTTGAGTCGGAGGGGCGTGAATTTTTGCAGGGGAAGGCCGAGCTTCCACTGTGAGAGAGGACTCTGTCTAAGCCTAGGATGGGGGTTGGGGACACAGACCGGAAAAGAGGGCTAATCCATTGGTAGTATAGCTTTGAGTTATCTTAAAGTAGGAACTGTTTTATTTATCCTTACATTCTAAGACTTGTATCTAATGCGGGCTCAGTAAAGTTTTGGTCAACGAATGAAGGAATAGGTGGATGAATGAATGATTGTCTGCCTGAATTCGTGCATTTATTCACTTAATGAACATTAAGTGTGACCTTTGCTCCGGGTCGTGGGCCAAGTGCTAGGAAGACAAAGGGTGCATCCGTTGAAGAGCCCACAGTCTAGTGGTGGGAGACAGACAAGAAGACTAGGTATTGCATTAGAGGCATAATCGTGACACTGAGAAGAGTGCAACAGTTCAGCTTGGGATAGGGAAGGCTCCCGTAGTTGCTGAGTCTTAAATGATAAATAAGTGTCTCTCTCTCCTTCTAGACTTAAGAGTTCCTTGAAGGTGAGCTCCTTGAGATTGTATGTCCTCTTTACCTGTCTAGTAGGGTGAGAAAGGAAAATGAAAAGATTCTGAAGCTGTAGAATTGATAGCTAGAGGCGTTTGTGATCTTGCATATGCCAGCATATGGACAAAGACGGCAAAAAGGAATAGGAGGAAGGGAATTGGTTGTCAGAGATAGAACCAGTGAGATCTCTGAGGGGTCAGAGTCTGAGAGGCCCCTTGGGTGGGGGAAGAGTGGTGAGGATTGGGGATGACTGAAGATGAGGTTCAGAGAAAGGGAGAAGTGGACTTAGGAAGCAAGAAGACTGTTGCTTGGTAGTGGGATGAGCTGGAGGAGTTGGATTACCTGATTGGGATCATTAAGATAGGAGGAAGAGACTGAGAAATCGACAGGTGATCACAGCAGGGGAATTTTTAAAGAAACGTTGTAGTCCTCTGCCTCCCAATCACTAGAGACTACAGGTGTTGGTTGGTTAGGTGGGGTGATTATGGAAATGACCTCCAAGATCCTTCCTAGCTTTTACTTTTCTGTGATTACAGTTGGCTGTGGTTCATTGAGATATATTTGAAGGCACTTTGGAAAGGGTAAATACTGTATTGAAGTTCTTATTTATGGGCTCTCCCTTGAGACATTTATGTATATCTCAAAGAAAGCTTTAGTTACATATGTCAAGGTTCATCAAGATAAAAAGCAGAAGTTTTGGCAGAAGAGAAAATAACATTTTCTTTTCTTTTGAGATGGAGTTTCTATCTTATTGCCCAGGCTGTGGTGCAATGGTATGATCTCGGCTCATTGTAACCGCTGCCTCCCAGGTTCAAGCGATTCTCCTGCCTCAGCCTCCCGAGTAGCTGGGATTACAAGCATGCGCCACCACACCCGGCTAATTTTTTGTGTTTTTAGTCAAGACGGGGGTTTCTCCATGTTGGTCAGGCTGGCCTCGAACTCCTGACCTCAGGTGATCTGCCCGCCTTGTCCTCTCAAAGTGCTGGGATTATAGGCATGAGCCACCACACCTGGCCAAGAAAATAACATTTTCATTTGGATACTTTTAAATTTTGTTTCTTAGCTTTTCTTTATTGTTTTAAGGACTGAAGGGCTTCTAGTAGTATAATAGATTTTGCAGAGTATCATGCCTAGAAGTTAACTTTTTATGAAACCACTAGCATTCATCCAAGAAACCTTGTTACTTGTTTCATTTTCTGAGAAAAAGTATGATTTGTTGTCTGGAAATGCTGCGTGGACTGGTTCTATCTTTTTTGTTGTTGTATGTTTGAGAAAGTAAGCTATGAGAAGCAGGAACAGTCATCCCTTCAAGCTGCAAAAATAACAGAGGTCTGGTCGGGCCTTAGTTTGTATTCAAGTTTCTACTAATGTCTCTCCAGCTGTTTCTTTTTTTTTAAGACAAGGTTTCACCATGTTGGCCAGGCTGGTGTTGAACTCCCAACCTCAGGTGATCCACCCGCCTTGGCCTCCAAAGAGCTTGGATTACAGGTGTGAGCCACCACGCCAGGCCTCTCCAGCTGTTTCTTTGCAGCCTTACCTGCAAAGAGAAGGTGAAAGAGAAGGTGAAATTCATCATTTAACATGTAATTATGGGGTCTACCGTGTGTCATGCACTGAGAATTCAAAGATAAGTAAAACAGTATCTTTACCAATTTACAGCTGAGTGAAGAGACATGCAAATAGCATATTATAATACTAGATAATTGCTGTAATGGAGACGTGTAACAAATGCAGTGGGGCACAAGAGATAAGCGCTTTGAGTCTGCTAGGGGGAGTCGGTAAAGTCTTTATGATAGAGATGGGTTTGAGCTGAAAAAGGTTGGGTTTACGAAAGAGCAGTGGTTTACATGTGGCGTCAGCGTTACCTTCTCTGTAGCACTTTGTTTGATTGATAGACTCTATTGTGGAGCCCAGATTTTAATAGGGTAATAGGTAGCCTGGCTAAGTTGGAGTTTCTACTTCTTGGGAATATAGGATATTATACCTGTGTTTTCCAATATTAGATGCTATTAGCATGATACATAATTTGGAATAGCATTCATTCATATTCCTTTTCTCTTTTTTTGTCTGGTTTCATTAATGCTTTCTCTAGAAGTTGACAGGTAATTTAGGCTTTGTTAACGGCTTCTTCCTTTAGAGGAATAAATAGAAAAGAGGACTTGGGAAAAGAGCTACCAGTAGAAAAGGCTACTGTTTATTCAGCCCTTGCCATACAGCAGCCTCTGTTTAAAACCCTTTACCTGCATCATCTTATTTATTACTAACAGTCGGCCTGAGAATTAGATGGAGTTAACCCCATTTGATAAATGATACTGAGGCTCAGAGAGGCTAAGGAACTTTCCTAGGATTCCACAGTTTGTGAGTGGGGAAGTACAGCTGCTGATCCAGGCCTGCCTAAGCTATACTGAGGTTGGCCTATGCTATCTGAGCTCCTGGGTTCCATTTCTTACTCCACTATTTGTGCTTTAGGGGTAGGTAATTTAAAATTGTATAGTCTTAATTATATGTAAACATTGATACTATGATAAGTGGCTGTGATTCAAAAGAGCATTTTGAATCTCACATTTGTGAGGAAGGTTTTATTAGTATTCCCTATTTGTGATTGAGGAAGCTGAGGTTCAGAGGATTTGAGATACGCCAAGGGTTTTGAGACTACCAGGTGGTGTCACAAACACTTAAACCCACATTTCCAGATTCCAGAGTGTTTCTCTTCTATTCTAAAGACCCAAACCCTTTTCTTCATGTACAAAAGTTCCATTTTCTTTTTTCTTTTTGTTTTTGAGACGGAGTTTCGCCCTTCTTGCCCAGGCTGGAGTGCAATGGCACGGTCTTGGCTCACTGCAACTTCCGCCTCCTGGTTCAGGCAATTCTCCTGTCTCAGCCTCCCAAGTAGCTTGGATTACAGGTGCCCACCACCATGCCTAGCTAATTTTTGTGTTTTTAGTAGAGACAGGGTTTTACCATGTTGGCCACGCTGGTCTCAAACTCCTGACCTCAGGTGATCCTCCTGTCTCAGCCTCACAAAGTGCTGGGATTATTGGTGTGAGCCACCATGCTCAGCCAAAAGTTCCATTTTCAAAACGTAAAGCAGCATTTCATCCCTGAGAGGATCAAAATGAGGGTTAATCAAAAGAATATTAGTTTTTCCATACAGGTTCTTTAACTTACTGATAACTGGATTCTGCTGAACCCCTGTTTAGGAGGAATGATTAGCCCATTGGTAGTTAAGGAGAAGAGAGAGAGAGATGGGCCTAGCCAACTCAGGTCAGGTGTTAAACTGGCCGTAATGACTGCCTAAGCTCAGTTCTGTCTCTCAGCCTGCCAAAGTACAGCATGCT